ATAACTTCTGACCCAACAGCGGTAACATCAGTGCCAATCCAAACAACCACGACAACCACACCAGCTGAGACGACTACAACGACAACCACGCCAGCTGAGACGACTACAACGACTACTACCACCACTACAACACGTGTGCTAGTTGAGACGACTACAACCACTAAAATACCTGAACCAGTTCAGACATCAGTTACAGAAACCACAACAGCAACATTAACTTCGCTAATCGAGATAACTGGACTAAATACTGCAGAAGGTTTGACTGCTACCGCTGTAACAGTAAGTGACCATTATAAGATCAGTATTAAATATAGTATTCATTTAAAGAATAACACTGTGACTCCATTGTTCACAAAGGATGATACCACTAAGGCTGGGTGAGAAATTTTACTCATACTGTTTGTTTTCTTGAAAAAGTTGCATTTATTAGTACAACAACCTCGAGAACAACGAACATTGATCTGTCAACGGTAATAGAAAATATAAGAATAATATCAAAAAATATTCTCAAATCAGATATAACTATAATAGATACCATGATTTCAGCTAATATTGCAGAAATGATTGCTGTTACATGATGATTTTTATGCGAAACAAACATCATGTTTATTGCTTTAATAAACAAAAAACTTATCAAACTCAACAAATTCTTAACTGTTTTAGATGCATGGAACTGTGAATGGGGCTGGCACAGGTTCTGGTGATTGGAGCAGGACTCAAACTATCATTTTGGCCACTGTCATTCCTGTTGTTTTTATTGTTTTAATTGTACTGATAATTATAATCATGTGGTTTAGAAAATCATCTTTGAAAAGTTGTTTTGCTGGTAATTCACATCCATCATATCCAATCAAACCAGATCTTTTATTAGAAACCCCTATAGAAATGAATCAGGTTACACATGTTTAATATTCTAATAAAGACTGAAATAATTTTCACAAGCAAAGGTGGTGGACGGTTAAGGCCATATTGCGGGCCTCCTCTTATTTGAATTATTTCTATCAGCTATTAATCAAGGATCGTTCTAGATCTCCTTGTTCAACTATGCTTCCCGAAAATCGGCATTGAGGATTTTTTGCCTGGGATACCTCACAGGTATCATAGAAAACAAAATTTGGTTTATCACGAGCCAAAGCCAGGTGTAATTGTAGATTTAAGGGCACTAGTTATGAAAATCGAAATTAGAAGTCTCAAAACTACTTTGCTTCCGAAGTAGCCGTGACCGCTCGGTGGACACTATTTTTCATTGTTGGGACTGCTATGCATTAGCATTTGTTTGTAAAGTAAGTAGAAAATATATTTACTAACCGAAAATGTTGAGTTCTTCAGAAATTTGAAAGTTTGATGCCGAAAAAGGAACCATTTAGGAAAAAGAGATAACGATTCGTTAGCAAAAATTACCCTTTTTTGTAATATATCATTTTTTCCCTTAATAGTTTGTTATGAAGCGAGTCTTGCCTCAACGTCAAATTCTGATCATAGGCGTAGTTTTTTAAGCTCTATCAACTGGAGATCTTAAAAATATTAGAAAAGTTGTGCAACAGGGTGAAAAGTTAAGAGCACGATTAATTTCTATAAGATTGCTGTAGGGGACCACAGCTACGATTATTTATGATATCTTGAAATCAACTGATATGTAGCCCATGTTGCAGAGGTTAATCAACTGTGCATACAGTAAAAAAATTATGGATCTCCGCTCTTTTTTCGATTTAAAAGTTTATATGAAATTTTACTCCCTAGCAGCGACTCATACATCTTGTGAAGCGAATTTGTGAGTGAAAAGAAAGAGCGAAGATCTATAATTGTTTTACTGTGTGTACAGTTCATTAAGCTGTACAAGATGGACTATATATCTGTTGATTTTACAATCTTATATATTTTAATGGCAGTGACCCCCCTACAGCAATCTTATAGAAATTAATCGTGTAATTAACTTTTCACCCTGTTACAGAACTTTTCTATTATTTTTAAGAACTCCAGTCGATAGAGCTTGAAAAACTACGCTTATGATCAAAAATTTGACGTTGAGGCAACACTTTCTTCATTATCTAGGTAGACAAATATTATGAGACGGACTCAAATTTGACCCCAAAATCCCTGCATTTTTTCCATGCGTTAGATTTTTTCGATGTAAAAAGTTCAGATTCGAACAGAACTCAAAATTATGAGTTAGAACAAATAATTTTGCACCAATTTCATCGTGTAGTTATTCGATGAGGGGCCAAATAGCGAAAAATAGTGTCCAGCGAGTGGTCTCGGCTACTTCGGAAGCAAAGTAGTTTTGATACTTCTAATTACGATATTCGTAATCAGTACCCTTAAATCTACAACTACAACCGGCTTCTGCTCGTGAAAAAACAAATTTTATTTTCGATGATAGCTGTGGGGTACCCCACAGGTAAAAAATCGTCAATATCGATTTTCGCGAAACAAATTTGAAAAAAAAGTGATCTAGAACGATCCCTGATTAATAGTTGATAGAAATAATTCAAATCTGAGGGGGACCGCAAATTGGTCTTACCCGCCCTCCTTTAAACATCACTAGTCGACGATCTTGACTTCGATCTGTCCAGATTCTTGTTTTTCTTGAATACCAGACAAGATTCTTGTCTGTTATTCAAGAAAAACACAATCTTGTCTGATTGCTCAGATAAATAAGAATCAGGAAAGAATGGCAAGATATTTAAGATTTTTTGAAATTCAGACAAGAATCTTTTCTCTTTTCCTATCAACGATTCTTATCCTATCTCAAAGAAAAATCTCGCATCATGTTTTATGTATATATACTTATAAATATACAGAAGTTTGAACATTATATCTTTTTTTCTAGGTGACGCGGACGAAGTATGACAGATATATTTTTTAAATAGACAGTTTTGTTCAAGTATTTTTCGTTTATTATTTTTGTACGCGTTATGTGCTTTTTGCATATTTTCTTGCACTTGTATTGTACTTTTTTCGTATTTTTTTTTCGATTTGAAATCAAAATATAATATGGCTAAAAGGAGGCAACCGTATGGATGCCTAAAAGAAATTCATTTGTACTGCAAGAATTTTGTCAAAAATGACAATAATTGTAAGAAACCAAGAATCTTGCCAAAATGGCAAGAAGCAAGAATCATACCAGAAAAACAAGAATCTGGACAGATCGAAGTCAAAATCGTCGACTAGTGTGGATTATAAATAATACATTAAGATTATATTAACATCAAGATTCTTTCTATAAGTATTCAGTGTTTAATGTCAAATAATATTATATGAAAACGCTTCAAATGATGTCACGTTGATAGATTAGAAATTATCAATAATTTTTAAGGCACTGAAAATCTAAACGTGAAAAACTCTTCGTATGAGATAATTTTTCCTTTGAATGTGTGAAAGATCAAAGATTGTTTATATGAATACTCTTTATCTATTAAGAATAATGAAAACTCACTAATCAATAAACATGATTTTTTTTATCATTCCTTATTAGATGAGACTTCGATTGTATTTGAAAAACCATGCGCAGAAATGTAAACTATGATAACAAGTCTTTTTCTGATCGACGGAAACAATATATATATACATGTATATTAATATAACGAAGAAGTAGACTGAACAAATAGGGATCATAAAGGGATGATTAAAAAAAGTATGGAAATGAGCAAAACTTGATTTTGTAAAATAACTTTTTCCAAACATTTAAATCCATAACGACCGATAACGACCAAGTTTGAAAATGATATTTTTCGTACTTTGTAAGCCGAAGAGATATGCGTTTGGTATTGCTAATTTCAAAATAATTTTTTTATATGCTACAGATTAATGATAAGGAAAAGCAGTAATAGATGATTGTCTTTTTATATGATTTGAGCACAGAGAACATGAAAATTCAAATTTGTTGAGTTGCGAGCGAGGTTTTCGCAGCGATAAGTCTTGATAATTTGAAAGCAAGTACTATTATAAGTATCTACAAACAAACAAAATCTATAGCAAGAATGAAAATCAACGCTATCAAAATATTTACGGTAAGGCCAAACGCAGCAGTAAATATAATAACATCAATAATGATTCCTATTGATCCAGCAACTATAAATCCACTTGACTTGTTATTTCCCGTATCACTGGATGAAGCCGATATTGCTTTGACAAGAAAGAGAAATATTGAAATTCCAAAACCAGCCAAAATAGTTAAAACAATCGATAACCAAGCAAACTAAAATTTTATTAGCATAATATTAATTTAACAACTCTTTTATATGGAGAGTATCGAAAAGAAAGATATTAAAAATATACAAAAAGTCATTTTTTTATGCTTCTTATCAATTCTCGATTTTTTATTTTACAGAAAATAAATTCAAGATTACTTAATATTAAAAAAAAGACAATAAAGCCTTTCTTGAGACAACTCTAATATTCTGTCATTCGGCATAGTTATGTTTTAATTTATATGTAAGAGTAACTAAAATCAAAGCATATTAATCTGAAAATTTCCATAGAACGAATATAATGAGGATCTCTTTAATTATTAATGAATAGTACTAATTATTCCAGAAATCATGCTCGGAAATGAAATACACACACTAAGCTAATATGCGTCGCATGTGTCGTGATTTGCGACACAATTCACGGCACATTTTACTCAGCAAAAACACGACACATTCTCAAAGGAGCATTTGAACCTACATACAGCATGTTTTTCATTTTTGTGTAAACGCATATTATGGCATCTTTTCAACTTATTTCCATATAATTATTTCTATTCTAAGTAACTCAAATAAGTCAGATCGTGGGATCTAACTGGCATTGAGCTGGTCCGATCTCCATCAGGCCACTTCAGGGTTGTTCCCTCTGAACCAATGATGAAGAGAGACATGTTCTCGAATGATCAATAATCGAGAAGTAGTTTTGTAAAAAACGTTTTGAAAGTATATGTTCCTCGTGTTCAATCGTGTTGTTTATATACAACTGTTGATGCAAAACAAAACTGTGAATGGCTGACCAACAGACAGAACGCGACACATTCTGATTACAACACATTCTACCCACAACTCATTTTCATGCTGAAGATCGCGACACAACAATAACGACACATAAACGCGATGCAATTTATTTTAGTGTGCATAATTAAATTTCTTGATAAAAATTGAAATCTTATGCTGACAACCTTATTAACGATGTTTACGCTTCAATAATCTCTCTATTTTATTTTATTTGAAATATTTCGGAAGATACTATCGAATATCACATTTACATACTCTGGTCAAAAAGTTTGGGCAATAGAAGATTGCCACTTTTTTATATGTGATCTTAATCTCTTCTGATCGAAACATATACGTATTATGCACTATATTGTCAATACGAAATTTCGCAAATACTTATCATAGGAAATTGATTTTCTGTGATACAAAATATTTATCTAGTCCTTTGTGGATACATTTGCCATCGATATTTACCGCTGGGATGCTCTCGGGAACGATCCATCATCTTTTGATGATTGTAATATCACTAAATCTGTTGAAATATGAATAACATACAAATTTGGTTCAAAGTATTAAATTATTGGTATCGTTTACTTTGTTTATTAGAATTTTACAGGGACTTACTAATAGGTTCAATAAGTCTTGATGTTTTCTTCTTCCGATTGATTAGACTTTCCTCTATTTTCTAAAAATTCATCTTTTATTAACTAATTCTAGTTGCAACGCAAATTCATAGTGAACAAGATTCAAGGGGGAAAAGCTGATTTCAATCAAAGCAATCATTGACAATCGCTGAAAATCAAGTGATTGCTTTTCACAGTAGAGAAGGCTACGATTTTTCTTTTGTATTTTTCATTTTAAAATGTTATATCAATGTGATATTTATCGACATACAAGTTATTCACGTAGAGCAAATATGTTGAACTGTAGACAGTTGAAAAATCACCTGGCTATCATTCTTTTATGGTGTGTGCACTTGGTTTTGTGTTGAAGAGAGGAGAGAAATGATTCTCTATATTCGTTAGTTACGGGGCAGTCTCATAGTTGTACATTTTTGTTTTTCTTCATGTCTCTATCGAAACATTCAAATTTAAATACAAAATTACTTCCATTCAATATTATGGATCTTCGTGATGAAAATTTTTATGATTTTATTCGGCAATTTGCAGGAGAAAAAGCTGGTGAACTGCTCTCTTTTCAAAAATGCAACAGTGTTGATTCGCTTCTTGGTTGTATAGATGTAACTACAATCCTTCATCTTGAATCAGATGAACTTATTGATCTTAAAAAAGAACATGTGCATTACATTGAATAACGATTCCATTTATCTTCTGCCAGCTATCGAATCATCGATTATGAATCTCATCGAACTATTTAAAACAAACAAGAAGAGCTTATTAAACAATCTAAACGACGTCAAACAATTGCGATTTCTTCTGTTTCGTCGACATCCAACATAATTTCGAACAATTTAGCGCCAGAGATCGTAATTCTAGTTAATTCTTCGATTCATCTATCTACATCTAATGCTTTGTCTACTTTTTAACGAGCAGCTTCAACACCAGCAAATACATGCTCTTACAGATGAAATTAAAACTCGGATTTCAAATATACTATTACTGAATGGCTTAAAAAAATAATAAGAATAGTCTTTCTTTGTTCAGTATCAATTTCAATCAAGACAGCGACTTTCAATTTGAATTGAATAACAATAAGAATGGTATCATCGTACGCTGTAAACGTGGCACTACAAGTGCCATAGATAAACAACAACGTATTCTTATGGAAAGAAATATGTTGGTTTTTTCTCTTTAATATTTCATTAAATATTTGATTTTTCTCACATTGAATAGAAATTTGTGGAAATAATCTTTTAAAACGAAGGTTGAGTTGATAGATCTTTGGGGTATCACAGTTGAATAACAGTTATTTCTATAAAAGACCAGTATGCATTGCGCTATTATCTTTCAAGAAATATGCAATAGTCATTTGTAAAATAGTTTGACATTGATATAATAGATCAGATGATATTAGATGTACATATCTCATATAAAAAAATAGACTTCAAATCAGATTAAAATCGATTAACGTTTTGATTAAAAATCGATTGTAATCAATTCCTATTCAAGTAGTAATCGATTTTTAGCTGATTCAGAATCGATTTAAATTCGCTAAAATCGGCTATAATCGATGCAACAGTTGTTTCCAAATACTACCGCTTACAAAAGAGTTCAGTTGATTTTTATCTGTTTTTAATCAATCGCAAATCAACTAACAACTGATTCAAAGTAGCTGTAATGGTTTGAGATCGACATCAGGCGCACAATAACATCTCATCAATTACTTCCAGTAACGTTGATTTACAATTAGCAAGATTAGACTTATTTTTACTTTCGCAACAAAATATACTTCTACTGCTTTATTTTCTGCTAAACGAACTGGTGATACTATTCTCCGAGAAAAAGGAAACAATCAGTAAAAAAAAATCCGTATCACAACGAAAAACAAGTCTGAACTTATTCCATTTGAATCGATGAAGCAAAACAAAAAAATGCTTTGGTTTGAAACCAAAATTTATCCTTAATATTCGTTTTGCAGCGAAAGGAAGAAATAGCGAAAAAACAATTCAGCTTTATATTAAAAGGAAACTCGTATTATAACACAGGAATGTGGAGGTTTTGTACAATCAATTATTTTTATGGGAAGTACTGTAAAGAGTGTTACCTTTTTTTCTTTGCAAGGGGTTTGTTGTTTCTGGTTATTGTGTATTACATCAGATCTTTTATGCGATTTTGGAGATACTTGAATTGTTTTTTAGATTAAAATCAGGTCATAAACGTTGAAATCGCGTTTTTCATGTGCATAAAGAAATTGAGCTCAGTGTCTAAAGTTTTGCCTTGGTCTTACATGTATCGAGTCTAAATAGGCTGTTCCATCACTTTTTGAATAATAAAGGTGGTAATTACTGATTTAGGATTGCTTGTGCATGCCGTTTATTACCAAGTACTGAAGTAATAATCTATCTGTCTAAATTTTCCAGATATCATACTTTTAAGATTTAAACGGTAATTTATTTTACACTTTGAAAATGAACAGTCTTTCGATTACTATGATGGCTTTAACTTCAACTTTTATAACGCCATATAAGCATAAAACATCATTAAAAATGATTTTCTTCAAACGTTTTCTTAGTAATTATGAAAAATCAATAAAGAAGTGACTTCTGATCGTTGAAGTTCTCAAAACATGTTGTTTTCAGCCTAGGATCAGTTTTGCTTGATTTTCTTAGACTATTCTGTTGGAAAAATTGAATGACTCCTAATTGGGTTTTCAATTTAGCTATTTTAACCAGCATAAAACCCGATTCGTTATAATGAATTCAAAAGCAAAATTGATTCTAATATATTATCAGTAGTAGGAGTTTATTTTAAACTAACTAAATCTCAATGATTATAATCTATTCGAGAAACGAATAAATTTTTGTGGACTTTAATCGAGAAAAAAAAATAATAAAATACTGATGAAAATCGATTATTACTAAAAATCGATTCTAATTGATTAATGAAAATCATAGACAATCGATTATAGTCGCTTTAATTGATTTTACACGATTAAAGTAAAAAAAATCGATTAAGATCTTCAGTTTAATCAGAAAAAAATCATAATTGCTCGATTTTCACCAATTATTTGTGATGTGCATTGATTATAATCAAGAATATGTTGATTTTTCGCGTGAATGTTTTTACATGGGATAGTGTCATAGTTAACATCAGACTGAACTGTCGAGTTAAGATTGTCAATTTTCTAAAAATTATACTATTGAAAATAGAATATAATATACTTTCAGTAATATTAAGGTTCATCATTCTTCATCTATAAAAATTATTGAAAGCTAGCATGTAAGGATTTAGTAAATATTCAAAGAATTCGAACTCTCGGCCGACTATTGAGTATGACAATTAGCTTTTGAACAAGTGACTGTTTTAACTGAAAAAAACTGTATCTAAATAGATTTTTTTTGAATAAAACTAATTTGTAATATTTTTTTAGCTCAATTTGGATTTCACTTCATAATTTCTGGTCTCAATGAATTCGATGCATAGCTGTATTTAAATGGTTGGTTAAATTCAACTGACATGAACTTATAGCTAGCTGTTCAGACTCTAATGACAAATTTTGCACAAACAATCAGGCGTACGATTGCTTTCAAATGGCAAGCCGACCGACTTTGCCATAGGATCGTTTGAAAGGTGTTATAGCTAATAAACAGAGTTAATTGTTGTTTGTTTGCTCAATTCATGCTTTGTCGTGGTGAACTATTATATTAAATAGGTTTATGAAAAATTATTTCAAGAGGCTACAGCAGACTTTAGCCGTTTTTTATACCTTGCTCTGAAGAAGTTGTTATTGTTGGCATGATCACTCCATTACTAATTTCACTAGACTAATTACGAATTTCATCGCTAAAATGAATTATTTTCGTCATCTTGAGATATGAATGTTTGAAATGAGTAAGAAAAAGCTGTTTCCCCTATTTTTTTAAGTATTAAAAGCAATTTACAATCACAGACAATCAATGGCAATCAATGGCAATCAATCTCAATCAATGACAATCAATGGCAATCATAGACAATCATCGACAATCATCGACAATTAATGGCAACCTAGGCAATTAGAGGACCAGCTTTTCCCCCCTTCACAAAACTTTAGAATGCTCACAATAGACCTCATTACCAATCACTTTTAAATATATACCCATTATTGTTTATTTCTACACAGAACAAACTAGAAGCACTAAACAGGCAAGTATTTAGGTCAATACACAGATGGTATGATGCAACAAATATGGAAATTTCAAGTTTATGTAAGTATAAAACATTTGACGAGCTCATCCAAATTCATTGGATAAAGCTCATCGGCACGATTCTTCGAACTAATCCTTCGGTAATCGGAGATTTTATTCAACAAAGGAAAAACAAATAAAAACCTAATTAATTTAATAAACGCACCAAAAGCCACTTTATTTGATTGTACTTTCTGCTTCTGATTATATTAAGGATATTGTAAAGTACCTCTGGTAACGATATAACTGATATGTATCATTTAGTTTCCTGATCTGTATATGTACTAAAGAAATTTCTAATCCATTTATGCCCTTTTTCCTTCGTTCGTACGTGGCTGAGCAGTCATCTTATTCCGCAGTGTTGAACATTCCGGAATCAGTTCCACCCCCGCCATTAGTTCCGTCAATTCCGAAACTAAGTCAAACCTGAACACTGCCCGATTCCTGGAATTCCAGGGAATTCCGTGTAATTCCGGAATTGAGTCGGAAGAGATAAGCGGAATTCCGGGAATTCGATGGAATTGGTTCCGTGAGAGGAACTGGTTCCGGAATGTTCAATATTGCGGAATAGGATGTATTCTCACGTGGCTGTCTTTTTTTCTCCTTCTTATTTATCTAAAAGTTGATGTTACTGTGATTTATATTACTTCTTTTTCTAAACCCTTTCCAGCCCGCTGTTTGGAAATTGCCGTACCTCCATAGGGGAAAATGTTGCAATATGGCAATACCTGGCCGGAAAGAGTTAATTGCCAGCTACAATTTAAACTTGCGCAATTTATGTGGTTTTCATTCTTTTGTCAAAGGGACGATGTTCATGCGTGACACCGAAGCGTGAGGACGCACCACACACTTCTCGATGAAATAAAAGCATTACAATAATAATAGTGATCAAGACGTTGTTTCATGTAACTAGATTTCTCATGAGAATAATCAGTTACCATAGATAGTTAATTTTTGCTATAGTGTTTTCTATTTCATACAACGATTTGTAAAAAAAAATTTAGGAATAGTGATTCATACATTGATATCGGTTATAGAACTTTCATCTTAAACATAAGCGGTCAAGTTAATTGTCTTGGTTAATATTTGTAAAGACATCAGTCGAAAATTTTACATGAAAAGAAAAATCATCAAGCACAAATTAACATACATTTACATTTATTCAAACACAGAATGATATGTGCAAGATATTATTATCAATCTTATTATGTCTTCAAGGTAAAATCTAAGACCTTGGAACAGATTTTAGTATGAAAATTATAATGAAATCAATAACGAAAGAACCGAATTGAAAAATAATCTAGCATATCATTTCGAATCTTTTATTGTAAAAAAATTATATTTGAAAGTCAAACAATTATCCTAATTAACCTATCTGTGATTACGTACTTAAATAGTAAATTAAAAATAAGCAAGAAAATTTCATCAAAAAAGTACTTTTTCGGCGAATACATCCTATTCCGCAATGTTGAACATTCTGGAACCAGTTCTGCTCACAGAACCAATTCCACCTAATTCCAATCGACTCCGGAATTCAGTACACCCGCACTTATTGCAACACCGACATTGACACCCACATCCTGCAATTCCTGTACGGAATTCTCGGAATTAGGTCGAAAAGGTTTTGAACGGAATTCTGTCTAATCCCCAGCGATTCCGTATTGACCTAATTCTGGAATCCCAGACCGGAATCAGATCATCACTACATGGATAAGAGAAGATAGAATAGTAATAGAAGTTGGAATTCCTAGGAATTCCCAGTGATTCCGCTTTTACCTAATTCCAGAATTGGACTGAATTCCGTGTAATTCCGGGAATTGGATAATGCTCAGGTTTGACCTAACTCCGGATCTGACGGAACTGGTTCCGGAATGTTCAACATTGCGGAACAGAATGGCTACTCTTTTTTTGAAATCTACTAATCCATATGTCTATCAAATTTTTATATAATTCATTATGTTAATAAAGGAGAAACATAAAAAATGTCTCTTAAAATATAAAAAATGAGTTCCACATAAGGTTATTATTAAAACATATTCATGTATTATCGACAAATAGTTTTAATGCAAAAATCGGAAAAATAAAAGTTTTATTTTTTTCAAAGGAGACTTCATAAGAAATTTTTAACCAATAAAATTAGATTGATCAAAATTAACTTCTACATGATTGTTAACATTCAATAAAAAAAAGTCTTTTTAAAGTGAAAACAAAGAAGAAATGAAACATACCACCCGTAAACCTGTTGTCGAGTATCTGTAAGCGACCAGTATTCCAAAACTATAGAAAATAACGGAAACAACAGATGAACTCAATCGGGTGCCAGTTCCAACTTGATCGTTACTACTGGATACTTGTGTCAAAATCAACATAATTGTAGTAATTAAACAAGGAGCCTAAAATGCTAATAGACAGTATTAGTCGAAAAAAAGGAAAATTTTAAAATAAAAATTCTTATCTTTCTTTCCCTAATATGATGTTTCATCTATATTCAAGGGTGTGGACGTCTCCTTTTCTCCTCAGCCTCCAAATCCGATGAATGCTATGTATTTTTATTTATGTTTATTCCAGGAAAATGAAATCATTAATAATGCACCCTCCTTTTTATCAGTTTTCACTCTTAGAAGACTGTACTTCAAAAACATAACACAACAAAAGCTATTTTAAAAACATTTTATCGTTCAATATTTATATAAAGAAACATAATAAAATTCGAAATAAATATTGCAGTCTCATTTTTAGCTAAAATTAAAAAAATATATCATTGTATAAAGAAGATTCTTTTTGTGAAACACGACCTGAAAGGAGTGTTGAAGTGTTTAGGATAGAAATTTTGCATCATCCCCCGCCCTGCCCCCTCCCACAGACCGTTACCGATAGATAATTTTTCCATCACAGATTGTAACATACGCTTTAATTAATTGACTAATTAGTACCATGTGAATTAAGTGCCTATCACAGACTGTTACGCAAGATTTTCGGAGACCATCACACAGCGTGACAGGCAATATGCAGACCTAGCACAGCCCATCCGAGACGCTGTTTCAGCCTAGTGCAGATCATCACTGGCAGCGATAAACGAGCCGTCTCACCAAATCTACAAAGAACTCCCTTGAATACACCATCTCCATGCGATTTCCTGCAGTGATTATGTCGTGTTTTGCATTTTAAATTCCCAGAGGGATTATGCTAACAGCTTTCTTTTCTTTATTCAGTAGTAATTAAAATAACAAGCAAAACTCACGAGAAAGACGCCAAGTAGAATCAAAAGATATTTTCTAAATCGTTGAATTTGAGGATCTTCGGTGAGTGACAGTGGCCCAGTGACAGCCACGGGAAGGCCATCCATCACCGTAACCTTTTCATTGGTTTGTTCGTATTGCATTTTTTTCAGTAATCGACTGAATCTGCAAAATTACGAAGAAGAAGAATATAAGTAGAAAAGGAACTATCAGAAGAAAGAATAAAAACTGACGGCAGGAAAATAAGAGAAATGATAATTATTCTTTAACCAGTTAGGAATACGATGTGCAGAACAGAAAAAAATAGGTCTTTTCATACTTGTATTTAGATGCATTTGCAAACTTAGAAGATAGAAAAACAAAAGAATTGATATTCTTCGTGAAATGAATGCGCGATTGACTACTTTCAACGCCATAATAATACTACTGTTTGACTGAATGATAGCAACGTAATCAGGACGTCGTGGGTGGTCAGCCGAAGGGTCATTGTTTCACTTATTCATCCTACATTATCTAAGTATTTATATAACACCTGCTTCCATCGGCGAATGACTGTCACCCATTCATACTATCCCTTAGTTATATCACTATTGGATGATTATAGAAAAATACCTATGCCAGACTGTGACTGTATCTACTGTTACTATGCATAAATAGTATTTCTTTCCTTTTCTGTTCTTTAACTCAGCTGAGTCATTTCTCTCGCTCTCTCTGTATATATATATATATATATATGTTGCTGTGTTGTCTTAAGAGAGTTAGTAACTCTATACCGTTTTCTTTTTACTATCCTGTTCTTAAAAGCCAATAACAAGTTACTGACCTTGACCCTTGATTTGCCTATAACACAATTGGTAATGCGTGACAGTCTCTATTCAAGGTCGATTATTATTATAAAAAGACGCATTTTGTTTTAAGCTCTTTAAAAAAATTTCCAGTGATTCACCAAAGCACATTTTAACGATTAAAAATGGTCACTTTTAATCATGAATTGTAACGTTCGAATTAGAACAAAGAGTAAATATTCTCATTCCTTAGATTTTTGAAATAAAAGTATGATCACGCACAGTCAAAGAAATTCTGGTACTAGTTTACTCTAGACATATAACAGAATAGGAAAGAAAATATATTAGTGGAAAAAGCAACCAACGAAGGAAGAGTTATGAGAAAAAAGAGACATATACATTAAAAATATAGATAACGTGTATAGGCGACATTCGTGTATAGAGCTGCTTATAAATTATGTGGTCATGCATTTATTCAAGCAAAATTTTATAACACTATAGAAGAAAACGACTAGACAGGATACAGCTGAGTAATTTTTTCCACAAGATGTTTGAAAGGAAATTCTCCAAAATTTTGCGGGCACATACACTCTTGACGATAAGATTTGAATAGAGCTCGATGAATACCATGCACTTTTTTCTGTTTGATTTTCATCCGCCTCTAACAATTTTCGATGTTTTGCGTGTGTACTGTTGTTAGAGGAGTGTGATTAGAAGATTAATCGTTCCACGACAAACGGGCGCTTGCTCCTGTTTTTTCACAAAGTCATCTGGTGGATCAATCTATATGTTAATGATAAAAATCAATTTGCTAGTTTCAACTCTTGCTTTTGGGTGTTGCTGTGGGTGTGGGTGTGGGTGTGGATGTGGGTGTGGGTGTGGGTGTGGTTGTGGGTGTGGGTGTGGGNCCCACAACCACACCCCCACACACACACCCAAACCCCAACACCCCCACCCACACCCACACCCACACACCCACACCCACACCCGTAACGATCGTGTAGAAATCTGATTTTTCACTATTTCAAGTAAATCATCAATGTCAGTTATGCTCAAGGGGGAAAGTGCAGGTACCAAGTACCAAAATCACTGTCTGGTGCTGAGAAGATGCTGAGGTGTCGAAAAGGTGCTGAGGTACCGAGAAGGTGCTGAGGTGCCGAGAAAGTGCCAGAAAGATACTGACGTATTAACAGAGTTTTAAAGATATTATATGCTTAACTACTGTTATTATGATGAACCAACAGTGCTCTCTATTATTCTCACTGCTGCATTCAATCTTAATGAACGCTTTTTGCATCCAATCAGATATTTATATTTATCCGTTTCAATCAATCTGCTTTGTAGCTCAACTTCACTCAAACAACAAACTCATTGCCACGGTCTTTTCGCAACATGAACAGGAGCATTTGAATAAAAAGACTAAATGAAAATCTTCATAAAAATATCTTGCTTGACAAACATACCTCTTTAAAGATTAGAATGCATCGGTAGTTCGAACAAATTGAAAGAATATCTACCGATTATGCTTTTCAGTGATAGATTCATGTTTAATCGGCTAATATATATTTAGATCTTTAATTCTATGCTATTATTATTTGGATATAGATGGATGATCTATATATTTTTTTTAGGATAAATGTATTTATTTAAGATAAGTATTCAATTTCCCTTAGCATTAGTACAAGGGGGGAAAGGTATTTCTATGCATTCTGAAACACATAGAAATGCATATAAATGCAGAACTTTTAGTTATGCTCAATCTGCAACATTTCGTTTATATGATTAATTGGTATGTTCGAGCATCTTTTTGTGAAAGAAGGGGTGTGGGTGTGGGTGTTCACATCACGACCCACTCACACCCACACCCTAGAAGCAGGAAAAAAAACTTAAATTTCGAATAATTCATTTCGGTGTTCTTCATTCATTTGTTGTAGACAGAAGCAACATTCTCTGATTTTTAAGAGACATGAGAACTGCTGTTTCAATCGTCGTCTCCCGCATCAACAACGAGCACAGATGAATATATGTGGTGAGAGAAAAATTCTCTTACTAGAGGAAAATTTTAAAAAGAACGTCGAATTATTCATACTGATGTTTACTCGGAAGTCATGGTATGAAGTGGATCTCAATACATTTCGCTAAAATAAAGCGTAAATTGCATATGCTGAAATTCTGTTGATCTTTAATAGTAAACATAAATGAAAAACAGAATAAAGAATTTCTGTTAATAGCAGCCAAGTAAATACATACATCTCAGTTGATTCATGGCCGTGTCTACGGTTATCATCGCTACTCAATAAAAGAAATGTATACTGTTTATGCAGCCATTGCCTCGCATCTCAACAGCAGGCATGTAGAATGAATGAATAAACATTCTATAATGTAAATAAATGAAAAAAAAGAACGAACTTAGATTTCTTTATAATCACATCCATTGTGAACTTCGAAGGAAAGAAGGGTACTTGATAAACATGCATTGGGATTAACTGACTCTGTTGAAATATTATCCACTGTTTAATTAAAATCATTCTAATTAAAACTGTTGTCTAACTGTCAATTGTCTTCAGAAGGCTATAATATTTCAATGTAGAATTTTTGAAAACATAAAATTTCCATTTTCTAAGAATTGATTCAGTGAGTAGAATGACCAAAAATACCCTAGGCATGATCTTTGATGTTTCAATGGCAGGTGCTTGCGAGATACGGTCAGAATCCTGAAGTAAGCGTGTAGCCAGGGAACACCAAGATCCTGACAGGGTTTTAATAATTTAAAATTAAAAAGTAACAGATACCTGCTGTTAAATTTCAGGATTCAACTCGCTTTCGTTCAAGATGTCATCAAGTTTCTTGGTAAGATCTTTCTGAAATCAATCTAGGTTTTCACAACAATCTCTTCACATTTCTTCAAAGCATCTTCGCAGGATTTCTAAATAGAATAGAAGATATATTAGCACATAGAGGATCGGGTGTTGGTGTGGGTGTGAATAAGCTGACATGATCTAGATTTCGATTTTGCGAAAAGGTCTCATCACATGGCTTAATTATTCTCAATTATTCTCAAAAAAAATTCAAAACAAATGAATATATCTTCAAGAATTTACAAAATTATTCCCATCATTACTTTTCGAAGTAACAGTATAGATTTGACTTTGTTTCGAAAACTTTCTTTTGAATTTCTTTCGCTACAGGTACCATTCGAAAAATCTCGTTGCTGAGATGAAATATCGATATCATGGCAGCTAATTCACACCCACACCCACACCCGCTTACGTTTAGATGCAGTTTAAAACAAATAGTTACTTCCACACTGCCACACATTACTTCATTTCTCTGTTCTCTTCTCTGATCTTTGTCCTTCTTTTCCGCGAAAGATAAATATTCAGAATAATTTTCTGTAAACACGAAGTGGCGACAAAATATCTACGAAAATGTAAAAAAGAGAAAATGTGAGTTGCCCGCTGTCGTCTTATATAATTCACTATATTTTCTCTTCGTCGTCTGTCTAGTTTTCTGTTCATAAACGTCGCCACACAGTTTTACAATTCTTATTGACTACTAACGTGTTTTAGTAAGTACATAATGTGATAAAATATATTCACCGCTTCAAACAACTCTTTGATAGGATCGTTTCGTATTATTTAAAGTTTAATTTAAATGAGTCACCTATTGTTGTATGATAGATATTATTCGTAAGTCCCAATTTATACGGACATATCTAACGAATACTATTCAAAAATATGATGTGTGACTGAAAAATAATACACAAATATAACTCTTCAGCTTTTCCTTGTGAGGGTGGCAGAATTCTTACGAGCAGAATCTTAGAATTCTATATTATAAATAGAGCTCTGTATTTAGAGGTGTCAGCCGAAGGGTTGAACGGCGGCGGCGGGCAACAATTTTCAATTTTTGAAGATTTCCAGCGGCTCGTTACTTGAATGAGTAATGTCTTCAGCGCGGCTGCTACAAATTGTTAAAATGTTTTCCAAAGCGACCATATGATGGGGAATTTGAATTTGCGGCAAAATCGATTTCATTAAAATCATCTCTATTAGTGGCAAAATAAAAACTGTACTAGTATACCGCTATACTATANCTTCTCCCCCTTGCCGCTTTGTCTCTGTAAGGGATATGTAACATCTAGCTACCGCTATACCGCACTGCCGCTATACCGCAATGCCACTATACCGCAATACCGCAATACCGCAAATGTTATTGCGGTATTGCGGTATTGCGGTATTGCGGTATAAGCATTTTGATTTTGCCGCAAAATCAAATTCCCCACCAACTCAAAGCGACGGCGTCGGTTGATATTTGCAAGTCTTTATGTGACGGCGGCGGCTGAGTTAAAAATTCACTGATGGAAATTAAAAGAAAAATGTTCGATTCGATCGCATATGTGTTGATGTCAGCGGTGGTGTATGACGCTATCAAAATTTTTCATCTCGTGCAGCGGCGCAATGGCTAAACTTGTTTTTTCGTAGTGGCGGCTTCCCAAAAATTCTTAAAATTACCAGTGATTTGATGGCTGCGGCGGCTGACTTTATAGAAAAGTCGGCTGCTGCGATGGCTCAGCCGTACGGCTGACACCTCTATCTGTATTAACCAACAAATACAGATACCCGCCACTGTTAAACAAAATTCATAGCAGAATTTTGTTTTTCAAGCAGAATTTTGATAGAATTCTATTAGGCATGCATTTAATGGAATATCTAAAAATATAGCAATACATATCTAAAATATAGCAATCCATATCTAAATTAATACAGTAGTATCAATTCCGGTGAAACAACACCTTTTAAAAAAGTGTTTGATCTAATTTTGTAGTAAAACATCTTTTAAATCAATTACATGTCTGAATTAAAAAATGTTCTGTCTTTTAATTTAACATATTATCAATTTTAAGAAATGACTATGAATCAATTGATCGACTTATCTAATTAATTTAACATATGATGGGGAATTCGAATTTTCGACAAATTCACTTTCGTTAAAAAAAATGAATTTATGGCAATATGATTATCCATCCGCTCACGAGAAGAGAAACATAGGGGGGGAGAAAGAGAAATGTGGGGGGGGGGGGGGGAAGTGGGGG